CTAAGATCACACCACTGCACTCGAATCTGGGCGACAGAGTAAGACTGTGTCTCAAAAGTAAAAAATTTTTTTTAAAAAGTTGACAATTCCCAATTTTCCATTTCCAGCCCAGACCTTTCTCATGAAGCCTGACTTGAATACCCATCTCCCCTGGAGCTTCTCCACTCAAGCATCTGGTAGACATCCCAAGGCACGTGTGCCTGAAGCGGAGCTCTTGATTTTCCCCACAGGGTGACCTTCCCACAGCCTTTTCCTAAATCCATCTTTCTATTTGTTCAGGTCAAAACTTTGAAGTCTTCCTTAACTCTTCTCTCATCCCCAGTCCATCAGAGAATACTGTTAACTCCACCTTCCACACAAGTCTCAAATCCAACCACTTCTCACCACTGCCAGGGGCTACCATGCTGGCTTGAGCCACCAGCTGCTCTCACCTGGACTGCTGCAACAGCCTCCTAGCAGATCTCCCTGCTCCCACCTCTGCCCCTCAAAGCCTGCCCCCAACATGGAAGCCAGAGGGATCATTTAAAAACCTAAGGCACAGATGGGCATGGTGGTGCACACCTGTATTTACAGCTACTTGGGAGGCCAAGGCAGGAGGATCACTTGAGCCCAGGAGGTTGAGGCGGCAATGAGCTACGAACCCACTCCTGCACTCCAGCCTGGATGACAGAGTGAGACCCTGTCTCATTAAAACAAAACAAAACAAAACAAAACAAAACCCCAAGTCAGACCACGCCACTGCTCTGCTAAAAACCCTCCAGTGGCTCCCCCATTTCTCTCAAAGTCAAAGTTCTCTGATGGCACAAAGTCCTACATGATCAACTTCTCTCCTACCCACTCTGCCCTTCCTCCCTCCCCTCCAACTGCAGACACTCGTGTCTGCAGGCCTTTGTGCTGGCTGTTCCCTGCCTGTAATGCCCTTTCACCACATATTCACTTGACTAACTCCTCCAGCTCCTCCTGGTCCTCAATCAAACGTTGCCTTTTCAAAGACTCCTATGCTGACCGTCCTACTTCATGATACAACCAGCCTCCCCATATCTACACTCCCAACCTCCTTTAACCTGCTCTAGTTCTTCTTTTTCCATCCCAGTTCTCACCTTCAAACATTCCATGTTATTGGCTTATTATGCTCATGGCCTCAGAGGCAGCATGATGCCGAGGAAGGCGCCTGGACCGGGAGCCAGGAGACCTGAGTTCTGGGCCTACCTCTGCCCCTCACATGCTCTGTGACTTTAAGCAAGTCACCAACCTCCACTGGGCCCAATCTGAGCATCACTCAACTGCTAGGTGTGGCACTGCGGGCTGAGGACCATGGGCCACATCTGTGCCACCAAGAGGCTTGGCTAGTGGAGGAACAGGCACACAAAGCCCTCAATGGCTACATTCACTGAGCCTCAGTGCTATTCCAGACATGGTTCTGAGCAGTAAGAACTCATGTAGTCTCTACCTAACACCTCTCCCATCATCAGATACAGCTATATCCCCACTTACAGATGAAGACACGAAGTACACAAGGGGTTAAACACCTGCCCATGCATGATCTCACCAAGGGATGGTGGCAGAGCCACGATGTCCTGGCATCCTATCTCTGGAGCCTGCACTCTCTATCAATGCACCTCTGCCAGCATGGGGCAGCAATGTGGCTCAGGTGCATGTGAGAAGCAAGCACCCACAGCAGAGGGGCACAGGAGAAGAGACAGGAAGAGGGAGATTGGGAGGACCTCTGTGAACAGGGGATAGAAGGACAAGCAGGCATTTGCCAGGCAAATGAACTACGGGGAGGATTTCAGGCAGGGAGGCCTGAGAGAGCTAGGGCCAAGAGGCTTGAACTCTCCTGGTAAGTCACAAATGCTAGAAGTGGGTAGTGAGGCCAGAACACAGGGCTGAAGAAAGACTCTGGGAAGGCCAAGGGTGAAAAGGTGGGCAGACGCTGATGCTGGAAGATCTGGTAAGTCAGTTTCAGAACCTGGACTTTATCCTAGATGTCATTACTTTCCAACCCTGGATTCACACTAAACCCCTGGGAGATTTGAAAAATGCCAATAGGTGTGAGAATTGATGGCTAGCCTAGTGGTAATAAGCCTTGTGCCAAACTATGGCCTGCAACTACTGTGTCCCAGTAAAAGGAATCACAGCTCCTCCAAAAAACAATAGATCTAGTATAAGATGAGCCCAGAACCTTGCGTCATATCAGACAGCAAGGAGACTACTGATAACTGCTGGAGTCCAGCCAGGGACTCAAAGCCAACCTGCAGATGCCCCCACTAGCCAGGGATGAGACCATGAGCATCAGTCCGGATAATGACTACGGTGCAACAGTACACACACAACATGTCTAAAACCATGAGTTAAAAACTCTAATTAGTTACTGCTACTAGAGGATGGTAGTGAACCAGTTTGGTATTTTAGAAACATTAATGCGAGAAAAGAATCAACCATTTCCTCTATGAACTTTACCACTAGGTCACCACATGGTCATCAAAAGGAAGTGCCTCTGTTGGCAAATGAAGACGGAATGGCAGAATTAGAATGTTGCCATGTTGCAAGTCCTTTTTAACTAACAGATTCACATACAGACTAGCAATAGCTACTACCATTTCAAAAAGAAAGACAACCAGATGGTATATGCCCCCTGATGGAAGAACATGAAACCACTGAGGAAGTCGAATCCCACTCCACACACAAAAAGGGAAACTGAATTTGGTCAAGTTTCTACATCCAACTAGCAATGCATAAGAAATATAGAGGATCCTGGCCAGGTGCGGTGGCTCACGCCTGTGGTCCCAGCATTTTGGGAGGCTGAGGCAGGTGGATTACGAGGTCAGGAGATCGAGATCATCCTGGCTAACACAGTGAAACCCTGTCTCTACTAAAAATACAAAAAAATTAGCTGGGCACAGTGGCGGGAGCCTGTAGTCCCAGCTACGCGGGAGGCTGAGGCAGAAGAATGGCGTGAACCTGGGAGAAGGAGGTTGTAGTGAGCCAAGAACATGACAAAACACTTCAGCCTATAAAACAGAAGGAATCTGCTTAAAAGGACAAAAAAAAAAAAAAAAAAAAATAGAAATATAGAGGAGCCTGTTAAATGACACTTGGGGATAAGAATACAAAATTCAGACTGTGGGAAGCTCTTCTGTAGGAACAACACATGTATTACAAAGGGGGATAGATGGTTAAGGGGGAGCCTAGAGTAAAGAAAACATCAACCGATCACAATGTGTGGACCTTATCCAGACCAATTCAAACAAATACACATAAAATGTACGAGAATGCTGGAAATCTGAATATTAACATTTGATGATAGTAAAGAATTTTTAAAGCTATGATAATACTATTTTTTAAAGAGCTCTTATTCAGAGATACATACTGAAAAGTTCACAGATGAGATAATATATGAAATTTGCTAAAAATGTTACAGAGCGGAGGATGGAGGAATGGATGAAAGAAGATTGGCCATGAGTTCATAATTGTTGAGGTGGGGTGAAGGGTGCCTGGGGGTTCATTACACTATTCTGTCGACTTTACTTTTTATAGCTTGAAATTTTCCATAATAAAAAGTTATAAAAATACTAGGCCCCACCTCCAGAGATTCAAATTAATTGGTCTGGGCTTCAGCTCAGGCTCTGGTGTGTTTTTAAGGCTCCCCAGGTGTTTCTAATGCCCAGCCAAGATTGAAAACTACTGTAATCACTTATACAAGAGGCGCCAAGAATCTGCCTGAAGCCCAAGGCAGAGCCTCCCCTAAGCCCAAGGCAGAGCCTGCGGAGGGGAGGGAGCTGGCCTGGGCAGGGTCAAGGAGCCAAGCACATGAACCTTGATCAGGTTGGGGAAGGATGAGGAGGGGAAGGCATTAAAGAGTGCAAAGATTTCAGTCTCGGGTGACTGTAGGGTGCTGGTCTCTGGAACAGGTAATGTCTCAGGGCTGGTAGCTTTGGGGTCCTGGGAGAAAGTGCTGAGTGCATTTGGGACTTACTGACTTTAAGGCGGCCTTTGTGACTTCAGTGGAGATGTCCAGTGGGCAATTTGGTTTGTGAGTCTAGAGATGCACATCGAGATCCTGAAGCAGATACAGAGACTTGAAATCTTAAAGGGTTGTCCCCCAAACTGAGATAGAGGTCGGGATGGCAGCAGCCAATGGTGGCATGAGGGCTTTTAGGAAACAGCAGCCTCTTAGCCCCTGCACCTGGGGGAGAGGGGAGGGGCCTGGATGACTTCACACCCTTCATGACCGCTCCCCATTCCTTCTTCTCCCCTCTTGTCCTCCCTCCTCGGATAAAAACCCAAGGGCAGTTGGCTGAACCAAGGTGCCCAGGCTTCCCGGGCAGGTGCAGAGGAACTCCTGACTATTCCCACAACCTGTCTTAAAAACCCATGCAATCAATCAACATTTGTTAAACAAATGCATAACAAGCACATCCGAAGGAAGCCTCCATGGTGTCAGGCATGTCATCCATGTCAGAGCCCAGTGGAGCCATTGGCAGTCAGACCGGCTTGACAGCCATGCGCTTCATTTGACATTTATTGAGTGCCCATAGATGCTGGGCACTGCATGAGGCAGGTGTGAACAGGATGCCAGCCCAGGGTCCTGCCCTCAGGGAGCTTGCATTCTAATGGGGAAGCTGACAATAAACAATTGTACAAACTCACAAAAGCTGTGGAATTCTATAAAATGGGTTCTCAGCTGGAAGAAGGGGCCACCAGATCCAAGAGCTAGGCCTAACTTCCCCAGGCCCTGCCTCCCATAATAACCCAGACTTCCAGAATCAAAGAGCTGATAGGGCTCCACTTTATAGCAACAGCAACTAAGGTCCAGAGGGGAGGGGGCCCACCCAAGGTCACCCATGAGTTTAGATCCTGAGACAATTTTGCATTCCTAATCAAAGTCTGTAGTGGGAGTTTTGTAAGCACTCTTCTAAACCATGAGGTCTATCTTTTCCTTTGAGCCAAAACAATCACTGATCACAGAGGACCACACGACCACAGGAGCAGGAACTTACCACGGAGTCCAGGAACTGAATGTAACACTCCAGCCCAGGCCTGGTTTCACAAAACTGCCGGAAAAGCAGCCTCCCGATTGGCTGCTTGTCACATAAACTGCAGTAATCTCTGTCTGGAGACAAGAAAAGAAGAATGTGATGAGACCCAGGAGAAGGCCAGGCAGGGCCTTCCTGTCATTCCCTCACCTGGGCTCAGAGCCCCAGATGGATGGAGTAAGGTGACTGGCAAACTCTCAGAACCCCTTCTTCATTTCATGGTCTCTGCAGACTCAGAGAGATGTCAGTGTAGAAGAAGGCACCAGTGACGACCCAGCCTCCACTCCCCACTCCACGCCCCCGGTCCAATGCTCTGATTTCTGTATGGACATGCCAGCAGTTCTGGGGACTGTGATTCCATCTCCTTGGTGGCCATTAAGCACATCACATTCTCTGATTACAGTGACTGCAGGCCTGTAATGTAAGCCAGTTGAATCAGAGTGGACCGCAGACTGCTTGGGAACACCGGAGCAGAGGCGCTCTCTTCCTCTGGAGGTCATGGTGAGTGGGTGTGAGGCCAGGTGCTGCAATAGTGTTCTTGACACTGCAAGAGAAGCCGCTATGAGGATGAGGCTGACACATCAAGGAGGTGAGAGCTGGGAAATTACAGGAAGTAGTAGTGTTGGTGCCCTGGTGATGTCATGAATCTCTGGATCAAACCATGCCTGTAGCTCAAACCACATCTGAAAAGCTGATTTATGAGACAACACATTCTCCTTGTTTAGGGCAGTTTGAACATTTTTAGAAATTACTTGTAATTCAAAGCATCCCAATGGATACATTTTTAAAAAATCATTTTTGCCCAACTGGAGAAAAGCCCAGTCTTAGGACGCTTCAAATTATGAAAACCCTGCCTTTTCCAGTTAGGCACTAAAGGCACGGAGACAGGAAGTCACCCGCACTTACCCACTCAATAGCCAAGAGGATTCAAAAGAGCAAATACTGCAAGACTCCCACCAAGAGGCCCAGAGACCACGGTGCTAGCCAACAATTTGCTGTGTTACTTCAAACCATTCACTTGCCCTCTCTGGGCCTCTGTGTTCTCTGAAAACCAGAAGGGCATGCTGTAGTTGGGATGGGGGCCCCTTCCCTTTTGGTTCTTCCTGCAGTGATGCTAAAGCCTCTCCAAGAAGTTCTCTCTGGCCCGGAAGATACTCGAAGGAACCATTGAAACATGCCGCCTCGGGCTCTCTGGAGCACCGAACACTAGGCCATCGATTTTGCAGCTGCACGGGACACAGTCGGGTGAGTTCATGGGAAACTGGGAAGAGGGCGATAGAGCCTGGGAAGGAGAGCAACTTGGGGGAAAGGGATGACTACAGTCTACTTGGTGTAAAGGAGGTAAGATACCAGCCCCCTAGAAAGGATTTCTCTTGAGATATGCCAGGCAACAAGGGGATATGAACACAACCACTGCGCTAGCACACTTGGATTCTTAGTCTCAAAATGCTTATCCATAGGATGTAAAGCTAAGGCTTGCCCGCAGGGAGGATCTCGTGGTAGCTGTGAGTGTGAGTGTGGGCTCCAGAGCGAAACCACCTTGGTTTAAATCCCAGCCCATTGCTCACTGCCTGTGTAACCTGGGGCAAGAGGCTTGACACTGCCCCTCAGCTGTCTAGTTTGTAAACTGGGGACGGTGAGCGGACCTAACTCCTAGGACCGTCCTGAGGAATTAATAAGACTATACATAGAAAGCACTCAAACCAGACGCTGGCACATTAATAAACCCCATTTCTCATCGTTATGGATGTGATCATTGGTCTGTTCCATCTCCCTTTCCTTTAGGGAACCTCCCTTCTCCCAGTCTGTACCAATTCAACCCATGCCTCTGAATCTAAAAAGGGAGCTGTGACCTCCCACACTACGGAGACAGGCAGGTGACTCAGTTATAGCCAATCAAAAGGCCTCTGTCTCCTGGCCACAGTGCTAAGGTCATGGATAGACACGTGACTTAGTCATAGCCAATCAGAGGCCTCTCTCTCTGGCCATGATGACAGGTTCAAGGGTGGCCATGACTCAGTTCTAGCCAATCAGGTCAGGGCCTGTGATCCATGGGGGCCCTGGAGTCCTCCCAGGGCTTTTGCCAGAACTTCCAGGAAAGATACTGTCTGTTCCCTGGGATGCCAGGAGGGTTTTTCGGGATGACTGCTCAGCCGAGGGCTGCTGAGACTGCCTTCCCCCACGCAGTGAGAGCCCACGGAGGACGCAGCCGGCACACAAGCGGAGCTGAGCGGAGAGAGGAGCCCTGAAGGCAGCCCCTCCCTCCCAGGCATTTATTCACCGCACGGGGACACGGGGACATGGCGACACGGCCTCAGCACTCCACTGTCTGCCTCCTGGAATGGAAAGAGCCGCGGCCAGGCCCACTTCTTTCATGGGTAACCTGCCTGAGGGCAGGGTTTTTTTTGGAGGAGTTCGCCAGATCTAAGTAGCGTATGTAGAAGAAGGCACTCTAAAACGTTTCATTCTCTCCCGAGTGAGTATTTGGATCAGCATGGATGAGCAACCTGCCAAGTCCCCTCTTGGCCCACTCCCAAATGGTTTTGTGGCTCCAACTAGCCCTGGACTGCAGCCTAAACTCTGCCCTTCAGCCGTGGGCACAGTCTACACCGCTCCCAGCACAGATGGTTCACAAATAGCCACTTCAACAAGCATTTAGCCTCAGTGTATGCCAGGTTCTGACGGGGAGGGGTACCTAGGGATGTGGTCCCAGCCCGCAGGGAGGTTGGACTCAGACTGGAGAGGTCAGCAGGAGTGTGTGTGGGTGAATAGACAAGATCTCAAGTGACAGTAATAAAATGTCAAGCTAGATGAGTGTGATCATCAGCCACAGTAGGGAACCTGGTCTCAGCGCCTGTGACAGGTCTGCAGCCTGCACCTGTTAGCACAATGCCCTGCAGATACAGCCTGCATTCCCGTTGCCTCCCACTCAACACAATCCCCCAAGGGGAGGAAAACAAACCTTTGCATCTTTTCCCAATCAGCTGAGTTTTTCCCAGCACAAACACAGAACCAAAGTAAAGTACCTTGTGTCAAATTCCATTTTTATTCAATTATGGGAGAGAGCACCATGCTGCTTATGTGATTTAAGCAAGGTACCCCTCTACCCCCACCTTTTCCAAAAGCAGTTTTGAGATTTCGTGTGCCATATTGTGATCCCTTAAGGGTTCATCTGACAGATTTTTTTTCTCTCCATATGGCATTTGCTGTCAGTATGGAAACAAGGCTGTTATAAACTCACAGCACAGTAAACACCATGCGATTCCGACACAAGCTGTCAGCACCTCAGTTCCGAGCCTCTCCCAGCTGTAGAGAGGATCCCAGGCAAAAAAAAAAAACTACTCGTTGGAAGCCTAGAGAGAAATAAAAGGACCAGTAATGATCTTTTTAGATTTTTTTCTTCACCTCAAATAAAGATCAATGGGCCCATTTTCTGAGCAAGCACACACACAAAAACAAAATCATCCCCAGTGCAACATTTACAGTTCCTATAGAAATGGATAAGGAGGCCACAGAAGAAAGAATACGAATTCGAGAATGATCAAGGAAACAGGAGGAGGCACAAATCAAAGTTCTTGATGTATCAAGAGTAAACCCGAGGTATAGGTTGCTTCTACAAAGTCAATGACATTGAAATTGGAAGCATGAAAAGCTCTACAATACATGCTTGGAGTGGACCCTTTCTGATCTGTTTCAACAGAAGCTGGCAATGTTGCTGAAATCCAGCTTGGAAGGGGGCCTGCCCACAACCTTTCTCCCAAGTGTGGTCTGTTGGGGTTGGTGAGGAGAAACACCTAGGACAAGGGCAGAAGACTTTTCTCTCTGTCTCCAAATCTCTTTAGGGGTGGGACAACACTGGGATGCTGTACACACAGGCACACACACTGTCCACACACACGCACGCACACACATGCACACTTGCTCTTCTAGAATATGGAACTCCGGCTTTCCATGTGCCTCATTGATCTTTTCCTCCAAGCCAGAAAGAGGCTGCTTTATGTAAGACATTTGGGAGTAGCGGCCAGGCACGGTGGTTTATGCCTATAATCCCATCACTTTGAGAGGCCGAGGCGGGCGGATCACCTGAGGTCAGGAGTTCGAGATCAGCCTGGCCAACATAGTGAAACCCCGTCTCTACTAAAAATACAAAATAATTAGCCCGGCGTGGTGGCAGGCACCTGTAATCCCAACTACTTGGGAGGCTGAGGCAGAAGAATGGCTTGAACTTGGGAGGTGGAGGTTGCAGTGAGCCAAGATCGTGCCATCGCACTCCAGCCTGGGCGACAAGAGTGAAACTCTGTCTCAAAAAAAAAAAAAAAAAAAAGACATTAGGGAGTAGGGTATGGGGAGCTCCTCGGCCCCTAAGTACCCACAAATCATCCAGTCATTCTAACTTTGTTATATTGAGTCCTTCATTCACTCAACAAATTATCTTCCAAGGTCTCTTGCTTTTTGATACTGGAAGTTTCCTTTGATGTTAACGATTTCTTCTTGAATCAACACATGGGGATATGTGGGTGGATTAGTGGGAAGACACATTTATACCCACTGACAGGTTACTGATCCAGTGACAAGTTTGGAATTAACAGCTGGCCAAGAATGGAGGACATCATCTCTGTGATGTGACATTTGGAAGAGGAAGGTGACTGGGAAAGGGGAAGGGTCTAGAAAGCCCATCATAAATCCCAGGGCACTGAGCTGTGCCCTTAACTAAGGAGCAGAGTGCCCTGGGAGGAGTTAGGCCCGCTTATGCACACAGGAGGGTGTTGGGAGATATACTGGGAAGGAAAGCTGGACTCTCAGGTCTAGGAGTTTGGAATGGATTCAGTGTCTCACTGGTAAATCAGTAATTTAGAGCAAAAATGATTCATGTACAATCCACAGAAAAGGGGAAAAGAATGGGGTGGTGGCAAGTCTGAGACATTTACAGAGGAAGTCATTGGTTTGGGAGCTATTGTGGCCTGCGGGCTCAGGCCCCGGCTTTTGGGCAGGGAGGGTACCAGCTCCTGCAGCTAGGAGCCTGCTTTGGCGAGCAGCTGGACTGAATTGGCTTCAAGAAAACGACATGTGTTGTTTG